CAACCTGGTCTTGAACACTGCCAGGGATGGAGCATCCACAACTTCCTTGGGCAACCCATTCCAGTGCCTCACCACCCTAACAGGAACAAATTTCCTCCTTATATTCAATCTAAACTTCACCTGTTTAAGTTTTAACCCGTCACCCCTTGTCCTGTCACTACAGTCCCTAATGAAGAGTCCCTCCCCAGCATCCCTATAGGCCCCCCTTCAGATACTGGATTCCCTGAATTTATGCTTGCAGGAACGCATACACACAGGTAAGTAACAGAATCCTGTGTGCCATCTGAGCCTGAAACTGGAGGGTTTTCATCTGAGGTTTGGCAGCTTTTCATTATAATCTTAACACAGTCAGGGAGGAGATAGGGGAGAGAATTCAGTTTGCTAGGATTTTTCACTTCTGCTCCTCTTTTAAATAATCCTGCCTTAAGCCAGAGTACTCTGACAGACAGCAGAAGCTGGTTGGTTTAATGACCTAGTTGCATCACAGAAAGTACAGGAAACTAAAGACTGCTCTTTCCCAATGGTGACTGGTGAAAGGCCTGTAGAAAATGTTGCCGGAAGAAGGCCATAAAGGGAATATGGAAGTTCCTCCAAGAAACCAAAACCAAACCAATCAACCCCAAAATTCCATCTACAGTCATGTCACAGGGAAGTAGAAAAACCTGCTTTCTTGACAGCAAAACAATAAGCAAATGTCTATTTATTAGTTTACATACTACCATATAGCATACGTTATATAGTATTTAGACATATTTACACACAAAGAGTACAGCAACTGTAAAACCAACACCTTTATTTGAGAAATATCTAACATTAATTACAGAAAAATCTAAAGGTTTTTCAACATGGAAAAATCGTATTCATTAGTTGTTCAACAGTATTTCTCATGTGGACCTTCTTACTCTGTGTTAAAAGTACCTATTTTAGTACACTTTAGAAAAGATTAAGCTAAACTAAAAAACAAAGGAAAAGATTAACTTTACACTGCAGAGTATGTTCTCGTAAAGAATAAATGCAGAAAGCTGCTGCTTCTAAAATTCTTAACATTTCCACTTTCACATTGAACTCTCGGCAGATATAGCTATCCAAAGGTCAGCTGTGATACATATGTGTGAACCCTCAGCTTCTGCACATAAAGCTGTACTTGGTAAAGATATGCTGAGTACCCAAAAAAATAAAGAAAGAAAAGGCTGTCACCTCCCCCAGCAGAGGAAAGCAACTGCCTGAGAGGTACTTAAGGCCCAAAGAATTCTGGGGAGATCTTAAACTATTGAATGAACTGCAAAATGTCTGAAGACTTCACTATGCTCGGAACCAGCTTTAGCTCCCCAAAGATCTATTGTAGGAAGAAATGTTAAAATACCACACATTGTTTGTTGGGAAACTGGGTTATAAAATACCCCATTATATGGACAATGAGCAAAGTAGAAAACTAAATGTGGCCTGAGAACCTTCACTAAGAGTATTCTGCATTGTGACCAAGAATTATGGCATAGAAGTATCATCCCAACAGCAGTAGCAGAGTTGCAATGTTGCCTACAGTAAGGATGGAGCTACTTTCACAACACACAGTAGTACTGACAGGTGATTTATGCAGAGACAGGATTAGCACTCTTGATTTTTAAACTCCTTTTTAAGTAGCACACTCCAATGCATAAGATCATTTCCTTCTGCAAAAGCTTTTTTTAAGCTGCTGTTCCCATGATACATCCCCTACTCGTCTCGCATCTTCCTCTCCTCCATTCCCCAATTACTTCCCTGTTACTGTCTGCATCAGACAGTACAGGCAATTTTGGTGAGATCAGATTATCTCTATACCACATTATCAGCATTATTTTGGCTGCAAACACTCTTTAATAAGCCCTAGGAAGATTATCTACTTGAGAGTAATCCTGTGATGGCAGACAAAGTGGCAGTCTTCATGACACCGTGCTGGGAAAAGCAGCAGAATGAGACTGTCAAAGAACCAGCCCGAAGCTCATCCCACTCTCTTTATTTTCTGGACATTTCAGAGTACTTGGCTTTATTCATTAAATATAAACTGGTTCACCAATATCTCTTGCTCAAATCTTTGGTATTTCTTGATAATAAAATCCTGAATGTGCAATTCTGCTCCTCCCGTTCTTCATGTTTTCTGCTTACTTCAGTCCAGAATACCTCCCAGGACTTTCTTCATAAAAGCAAGCTTTGTCAAAGGTTGAAGTATTTTTCATTTTTTCATGTTTCCCTTGCGCTCCAGATCTATTTATTGACCTAGAGAAATAATGTCTGTAAAGATACTGGGAGGGGAAAAACAAATGTCCCATATATCCTCTTTAGGAGATGGGGCCTTTTTTCAATCTACCAGGATTCACTGTTCTATACACATTGACCTACTGCTTTCAAACCTCACTTGAAGCTAAGGGTTTTCCAGCAATGAAGTGATATGAATAATGTATTTTTCAGACGTGGTTTATTTTCTCCTTCCTTCCAGAGAACTGCATAGGTGTAGAAGTTCCTTATGGAGGGGAAGGAAAAGATTCATTTCTAATGTGTTCATATTAGAGTAAGTGCATATCTTGCACTTACCTCAAAGTTATCATGTTTTAAAATGGCCCTCAGTTATTTTTTGTCTGAGATCTGGGAATAAACTCATAGACTCAAAGATCCAAATACCTCTATAGTTACATGACACGATTCATTTCAATATTGTTTAATCCTGTATGGATTGCATAGTCTTATCTACTAAAACTACAGATGATGCTACTGCCCTCAGATCTGCTTGTATTTATGCTCTAAAGCATGCAAGCTCAAAAAAAGCTTATTCAAGAGAATTTTGCACACTGGTAAGTGTAGGTCTGCTCTTCTGCTGAGGAAAGATGGAAATGTGTCAAGAAGAATGTCAAAGGCTCAATGTCCCTTAAGAGCGTGTTCATTAGCTTTTGGAACTTTCATCTGTACAGAGCATCTGCTCCTATATTTATATTTTAGGACTGTTTTAAGCCTTATTCAGGTGTGCTCATCCCCTGATAACAGCACAAGAGCTCTTAAGTAGCTACTGAGGGACCAGACCACCTTTTGACCAGGTTAATAAATGTCTGCAAGTCTCATTTCCAGGCAAAGAAAGCAGTACTAAGACCTGGGCAAAGTGAAGGCAGATCCTGTATCTTGTCCTCAGCTCTGAGTTCAGGAAATAATAGTCAAATAACATGCTTCCATCAGTCTCTGGACAGGGTCATGAGGATCTGCTCCCCAGTGTACAATTTGCCAGATATATTTTGTTTGTTTAGCAGTAGCAACGACAAGCCAAAATTGGTAGGCTATCTGGAAATAAATATCATCAGAGCAGATCTGGATTCCAAGGCTGCACATAAAACCTGGTTTCTGGGACTTTAGTTTGTGTCTTGCTTATGTGCTTGGTGCCAAACTCATCACCAAACCTGGCGTCCGGAAGTAACTCCACAGCTCAAACTGGGCTGAGGGAACCCATTACCTTCTACAGAATGGCACTCCCCCTAGGAACAAGCACACAGATCACCTAACGGACTTGCCGCAATTGAAAGCAATTTCAGTAATGATACTGTCTCATTTGTTGTGGCACAGTGTTCTAAGGACTTAAATATTTTGGTCAGAGTTTTATAGGTGCAGTAGAAGTGTAAAATTCAACCACTTGCTATACCAGGAAAATGTGACTAGGAAATATCTTGTGGACCTCCTGGGCTTTGAAACGATGACGGATTCTGTAGGTGAAGAACGTGGCCCCATCAAAATCACAGCAAAACCCTCACTGGGAACACAACTTCATGCTAAAAACTCCACAGATATTGTATTCCCAGGCAGAAGTTAATCACAAAGACATAGGAAATTAATAAACACATTCTGCAGATCTAATCTGACAATTCAAAGGCCTGATGCACAAAAGACTCTGAAAGCAAGTGAAAACAGCAAGGCACGCTGTTTCTGCACAGCTGGCCGTTTTTCAAGTTTTCATTCGCTTTTCAAAGAGCTTTGAGAAAATTACGCTACTCCTAATTAAAAACTGGTTTTGATTACGGGAGCACAGAAATTGCAACCCAAAACCATTCTATTCTGAGCAGTTTTGCACTTCAAAAACTTTAAAAGCCGTTGCTGTTTTGTCCTTTGTTGCCGTTTGCAGCCGCGGAGGGAAGGCGACAGGCTGGTGTTTGGGTGCTGTTTTGGGGCGGGGGGAAGCAGTTCTTTGTTCCTTTAGTTAAGCCAGCCCAAGTTCCAAGGCGAAGTTCGCCGTGACACATAACCACCGGGCTCCGCAAACACGCTGCGGCACAAGCACGGCCAAACCTCCACCTTGGTCCTCGCCAAGCGCTCCCTGCCCTGCAGCTCGCTAGCCGCCGGTTGCCGGACCTATCCGTGCGGTTGCAGGGGTTTCAGCGCGGTGTGAAGACCAAACGCGATCCACCTTCTCCATACAAACCAACTTTCTTGACCGACTCAAACACCCCCAAGGGCCAACCCGATCTCCTCACTACAGACGGCGGTCGGGGACAGGCTGCGGGACCGGGCGGGCATCAGGCTTGGCAGTGCCAAGCCACGGCAGCCCCCCGCCGGGCCGGCCCCTCTGGTCGCCAACACTTGCGGGTCCGCACACGGGACGCCGCAGAGGAGACGAAAGCGGTATTAAAAGTCGAGCTGGACGTGGCCCAAGCACTGTCGGGCTAAACAAAAGGAGAATAAAACCCAAGCCTCCACAAAAATCCCCAAAGTAGGGAGAAACGGAGCTTTAAAGCTCGCTCTCCTGTCAGCCATTTTAGAAGCGTGAGGCGAGAGGGGCGGCGGGGTTCGCCGCTGCGCAGCCTTCCCTTGCCTGCCCTCCCGCCGGTTATCGCCGCAGGGGGAAGGAGCACATGAAGAATTAAATCGTGCTCGGCGTCTTTCCCTCCCCCCGATAGCACCTCGCCGCCGAACGGAGCGGAGTAGAGCGCCTGCCGCCTCCGCGCAGCCCGCCCGGCCGCAGCGGCTCGGTCCCCCGCTGCCCTCCTCACCTTGGCGTCCGGCGGCAGAATCAGCACCTGGCTGTTCTCTTCCTCCTTCTTCACCGCCTCCTTCTGCGCCAACGCGGAGTTGAACGACACCTTCACCATGGCCGCTCCGCAGTGCCCCGCACACAGGAGAAGGACAACGACAAGGAGCCCGGACCCGCGGAGCTTCGAAAGCTGCCTCCTGCCTTGTCACCCCCCCGCTGCCGCCTCACCGCGGCTGCCGCCCCCGTCCCCTTGTCAGGCAGCGGAGGAGGAGGAGGAGGACGAGAGCCGAGAAGGAGGCGGTGCCTGACAGGGCGGGCGGTAAAGGGGGAGCTGGGGGCGGTGAAGTCTTGCCCTCCGCCCGCGCGGTCCAGCTCGCCGCGGTGTGGTGAGCTGAGGGGCCACGGGGCGGGATCGGTCTCCGGTGCAGGTCTCCCCTTGGCAGGGCGATGCCGGCCGGGGGCACTGCCAGGCACCTGCAGGGCGCACCTCTGCCGGTGCCCTGCAGTGCCCCCGGCGGAGAACCCCGGGGACCCGTACCCCCAGCCCCGGCCCTCCCTCGATCCTCCCTTGCTCCTTCGGGGCAAGCCCGCGCCTCGGTCCTGGCCCGGAGGCGGCCTGGCGGGCCGTGGCACGCTGCTGGCCAGGCTGTAGGGTTGCAGCCTCGCATAGAGGTGCACTGTCACCGGAGAACATCGGTGGCACAAACGGTTTGGTTCACCCAGTGACCTGTCTGCGTTTCTCAGATTGCCACTGTAATTTGACTTTTGTTTGAATTTATGGGTATTTATTTACGGTTCGAAAGAAAATCCCGAAAATGCTGTCTCAGCAGCATGAAGGGAAAGTCACAGAATAAAGTCATAGAATAAAGTAATAGAATCACAGACTGGTTATGGTTGGAAGCGACCTTAAAGATCATCCAGTTCCAACCCTCTGCCACCGGCAGGAACACCTTCCACTAGACCAGGTTGCTCAAAGCCACGTCCAGCCTCGCCTTAAAGACTTCCAGGGATCGGACTGCCACAGCTTCGCTGGGCAACCTGTGCCAGTGCCTCACCAACCTCACAGTGAAGATTTTTGTTCTAATATCTGTATGCTTATAGCCTACTCTGAGAAGGATTTCATTTTGGTGACTCACATGGGTAGAGTTGATTTCCTGGCAAGAGCCTGGCAGAGTAGTGTTTCTGTTGCCAGATACCTGGCAAGCAAATGGCAGTCCTTGAGCTCAGCGGCAGCTCTGCTTCTGACTTGGGCAAAATCTGGTCTTTCTCACATGGAACCACAACTGCATTGTCCTTATGCTATGTGCCTCGTCATCTGTGTCCTTTGAAATTGTTGGCCTAAAATTCTAAGTTAACCTGGTTCATGCTATCATCATCAAGTATTTTTACCTGAGGATCTATGGATAATTTAAGGATATTTTTTTTCATAAAGATATAAAATCCATGATCATATTATGTGATCCCAAGATAAAACAGCTGACGGTATAGCTTGTACCCAAGACTGCAAATTGCCCCAGGTATTTCAAGAATTCAGTAGGTTAACTGAATCATTTGGAGGTATTTCACTGAAGTACAAAAAGTCATGGGTGCCAAGGAAGAAAGAATACAGAGATTTCTGTAGGGAATTTCTGACTATATTTGGTGTGATCCTGGAGGTTTTGCTTTAGTAGGAACTTTCAAAAAAACTATTTGAGCTTTCTACATGAAAACCACAAAGTGCATTAATAAGGCTGTCATAAAATGTAGTTTCCCAGGATACTGCCATGGATTTTAACATGTTTTTATAAGTTGGACTTTTGTTGTCCCACTCCTAGTTTGAGATAAGCACCAGGTAACACCTCTGCTCCCATTTCAGTGGGAATGCGTGCAGGTGCATGGTGTATTCAGGGCACTATTTAGCATACACAGGCTGCAGTTCAGAGGCTTGCTTTGCTTTGTTGTCCTTAATGACATCTTCAGATATTCCTCACAGAAGGATGGGTGTGCAGAAGACAGTCAAAGCTGAGGCATGGCATTTTATTAGCTATGTCAAAGTACATGCAACTCTTTCCCTAGGCAGCGTACACTCTTATCTGTCCAGATCAAATATACTCTGTCTGCTTCTTAAATCATGTTTACAAGTCATCGTGGCTTACCACAGCTGGAGTAGAACAGCACCCTTATGGGGTTGCCACTCCTGAACTTTTGGTTAGCTAGAATTTGGGATATCTGGGGTTCTTTCTATTAGAGAATGGAATAAGAATAAAGCATCAAGAGAACATCTCAGCTTACTTCTGGACTGCTTGCTTTCAAGCTGTGGTTTCACAGGCAGCAGGGTTGATCAGACGGCTGTGTTCCTTTGAAAGAAAATCTTGCCTTATCTTCTTCCTCTTCTTGCCCTTCATCTTCCCCCTTATCTCACTCTTTGTACTCCTCTCCTTCCACCAGCAATCCCACACAATGGGATACTGTACTGCATGTATGACCGGTGCATATCTAAGTTTTTCTGGGTTACTTTTCTGCTGGGTTGATGAGTTGTGTGAGTTTAGAGAGATATAAGGACCAGCACCAGTGTGAACAGTGGTCCTGCAAGGCCAAGAATTGGGAGGAGGGGTGAAGTGCAGCGAAAGACCTAGATGCAAGTGTTAAATAAGCCCCCCACATCTCTCAAAACCACAACCTCAGTTTTTCTCAGGCACGTAGGTGCATCTCAGTTTATATCTGTATGACTTCCTCATTCTCTCTCATGTTTCTGCCCCTTTTCTTTCATGGACAAGGCTTCATCTCCTCCACTGCCCTGCCCCATTGATCTTGGACCCCTCCCAGGAACAGACGACCTACGCTGTTTAAATATGTGTGTTTTGTGTCCTTGGGCAGTGGTTTTCCATTGTTTCAGCTGACACTAAAAAGGAGGCATCTCACTGATTCCTTGTTTACCCTGAGTGGAAAATGGCTATTGCATCCATCAGGACTGGGAGTCACTTTCTGTTTCTCCCCTCTCTTAAAATGCCACAATGCTCCAAGCCATACCTCTGCTTGCCCATCTACAATTCAAAACCAGCCTACGTACTGTCTCTTACACTAGGATCATAAGTTTCTAATGCCTGTACTAGACAATCTGTGGATTCAAACATGTAAAACTGCAGGGGGCAAGCAGTAGGTAAGTAATGATATTGTCTTCCAACAAAGGACACTATTTTGAGGTGAGGAGGATGTAGTTGTTTCTAAAGTTTCTTTTAGAAGCTTTTAAATGCAACTGAACGTGGTAAGTTCCATATGGTGTCACAGTATTTTTTAATTGTTTCTTCTACTCCTTATTTCTTGTTAACTGCATGACATTTTGCTATGGTGTGTCTTGCTTTTCCTTCAACCCCTCTTTCCAGTTTCATATATATATATATATATATCTGTCTAACTATGTATATCATGCTCATTTCTTGGGCAAGGGGAGGGAGGAGACAAGCAAAAATTGTTTCTGTGACAGACATTTCTTCATCTTGCCTTCTTACCTAGAAGTTGAAATCCATTTACATCATTTGAAGGCTTTTCACACCATGGCTGGCTCTTCCTCTCTGCCTGTTCTGCCTTCCACCCCACTTCTTCTCTGCACAGCCCCCACAGCTCCACTTGGAGAAGTCTCATCTACCAGACCCTTATGGCCCAAATGGCCCAAAACCCCCTTGCTGTTGTGCAGTCCCTTTTGTGTGATCCCTGAATTCATTGACAAGGAATTGTCCTGAGAGTAGACTTAATCTTCAGATACGTTAAAAGACTCCTAGTTTAACAAAAGACTCCTAGTTTTACTTGTACAATCCCAGTGACAAAACCCTGTGCTGGGAATGTCATTTTATCAGCAAAAGGATTATTTTCCCCATTGCTTGATGTGTTGATCTGGGAAATCTTTTCCAGATTGTTGTTTTGGTTAGATGGGAGGGAAATGGCCATGGCAGCATTTTTTTAGCTTTGTTCTGAGTTAAACTTCCCACCACCTCCAAATCTACCTTTCCTGTAACAACTCAAAAAGAGCAACATAAATTCCTGATGGCTAGAGCAGAAGGGAAAGGATGGAACTTACTATTGTAAACAGGATAGGAAAGAAAACACATCAAAAGGCATATGAATCTGTTTATCAGCCTCTATATTCTTCTTAATAACCCAGATCCTGCTGAAGTTGGCAAACCGAATGCTACATAAATCTTTGCCATTCTTTAGCTTGCAGATGGTTCGGATTGCAGACTGTTTGTGTTCTTGCATATTTTGGGACCCAACCATTACAGCAGAATCCCCAATTTTTATTACTCTCTAGGCAGTATCGTAATCTAAATCTTAAAAAAATAATGTAATTTTCACAATCTGTCTAAAATGTAGCTACTACAACAAAGCATGAAATAAGCTTGACAAATCTATTTCAACTTGGCTCATGCCTCCCGGCACCTCAGTCATCCCTGCTGAAAGCCCATTAGAGTGCTTAAGTGGCACCACAGCAATGAATTAGGCCATAATCTAGCAAACTGCTTTGCATGACCGTCTCCTGCACCCACATGGAACCCCAGGGTCCACAGCAGCTTGCCTGGCTGGGTCTGCAGTTTGGTAGGAAATTACCATATGCAATATGCAGAAATGTACCTGTGTGTACAGTACTCGGTTGCACACTCTTAATTTCAAAGAATTGTTTGCAACATGAGCTAGATCCTCCCTCGTTTGAAGGCAGTGGAAAGACTCATGCTCTCCTCTTAAAGCTGATGCTGTGCTCAGGTTCAATACAAATGTTTTTACTTCAGTTCTAACTGGGTGTCATCTATAAAGCGCCAGACTGCAAGAAGGCAACATTTATATTAATTTATTGACATTGTATTTGCTCATTAAGCATCAGTGATTTGGTCAGTACTGAAGAAGACTCAAAGAGTACTGCTGCCCAGGGATTTTATAATCCAAATCAGATACAGAAAGAAAAAATTCTCAGGGAAGTTAAGGGCATGGAATAACTTTGAAGGCTCCCTCTCTTTTCCCTTAAGCTCTTTCCTTCTCCCATTTCCATTCACAGAAATAAAAAATGTGTGTAAGCCCTTGTCCTCTAGTATCGTAGCAGCTGCCTTCTCCTTACTGGCCCAACAAATGTAATTTTCCACCTTTTTATGCATTAAATACACACTGCTAATATATTTTTTCTTTTAGGCTTTATTGAGCTGATATTATCATTCCTTCTTGCTTTGTCCATTAGCACCCAAGACTTCCAGAACTGCTGGTTAATTAATGCCAGGATACCTGCTTTAAGAGGTTAAGGACAAATTCCCCTTACTCCATTGCAATATATCCTAGCATACAGTGTCATAGTCTCAAATTTCTGTTTAAGCCTCAGGAGTTTTTGTACCTGTCCTTTTGTCTCCTTTTGTGCTGCATC